CACACACAAAGAGAAGGAAGGTTGGTAGTGTACGTGTTTGTGTGTCTTGAACCTCCTGCCATTCTTCACATTTCAGTCACAGCAATTAAAACACATCGGGATTGCATCCCATTCCCATGGGTAAAAGCAACAGTTAGTAATATCACGGAACACATATACACTCTTCATTAGCCGGGCAGAGTAAATGGCGGCAAAACAGTGCCCAGATAATAATGCGAACAAACAAAGAGGACACTCCCCCCACAAAATGATGGTTTGTCATGTGATGAGTGCCATAGGGAGTCCAATGGATTTGTCCAGTAAAAAAACGCAAACAAGAGATTCATCGAACTGGAAAAGAGAAAAAAAAGAAACATTAAAATTCAATAAAAAGAACAGCACCCTTACAATGCATCCATATCCACTCAAATAAGGATAACTGTGCAGTTGTGTCATGGGAACACTGTTCAGCACACGGCAGTGCTACCCAATACACACATTAAAACAATAAGCAAAAAGGGACCGTGCACCAATTCAGGACTGCTGCTGCCGTCTTTCTTCTTTTTTTTGGCCTCTTCTGCCACCTGTCTCGCTTTTTCTTCTGCAACCCTTTTCGCTTTTTCCTCCTTGGCTTGTTCGTCTCTTTCCTTCTTGGCCTGTTCCTCCCTTTTCTTTCTCTCCTGTTCATCTTTTACCCTTCGCGCCTCTGCTGCTGCGGCTTCCGCCTTTCCTTGCCGTTCTTCCTCCTGTCTCCTTCGTTCCTCCATCTCCCGTTCCAGCCTCTCTTGCTCGACCCTCCTCCTGTCGTCCTCGGCGATCCTTTTCTTTTCCACCTCCATACGTTGGAGTTCGTCTGCGTTCGCATCTTTTATTCTTTTATCGACATCCTTGATCGTCTTGTTTCCTCTTTTTGCCGTGGTTGCATTCGTTTTGTCAGTGATGTAACCGAGGTCCTTCTTCGGGACCTCGATCTTGTCTTTTATTTTTTGTAGTTCCTCCTTCTTTTCCGTCGCCTCTTCCATACCCCCGACCAGCTCTAGATCTGCGTATGCCTTTCTCCAAGCCTCTATCCGCTTTTTGGCTTCCCCCACTGAAAATCTGCCTTGAACCGTCACTTTACCAAGCAGATGTGTGATATTCTGCAAAACGTCACGAACATCCTCCCCGACTTTCTTCACTTCCATTGCCTTTTTATTCGCAGAATAATTTACCCCAAAATTGTCGTAATATTCAAGACCTTTCTTAAGAGACTCCAAAGTATAGTCTACTTCTCTACGGATGCCCGTACACATGAGCCTTGCCTGCTCCGCCTCGTCAAGTTTTTTCATCGCATCCTCTTTGGGTACCTTCTCTTTTGTCTCCTCTAGAACCTTTATCGCCTCTTGAACCAGTCCGTCGAACTTGCTCTTGTCGACGTTACCAGCGGGAAGCCGTACTGTTTTCCCACCCTCTTTTTTCGTCACAACGTCCCCAATATCCCTGGTTAGATTCGTAATTTTTTCGGTGGCCCCCTCGGCATCCTCAACCATTTTATTATTAGCCTTAATAACGTCACCCCATTGGGAGATACAGGTCGTTCCGTTAGCAAAACGAGCGTTGGCATCTTTGAGCGCCAACTGCACCTTCCATACTGCCATCCAAAACTCCGAATAAAGGTCACTCAGACTCCCATCGTTCTTGATATCATCGTAGTCGTAATTGGGGATCTTTGACAACCTCCTCAACGCCTCCTCTCGGTCAATGAATACTTCCTCACCGGTCACGGCATCAACCCCTCCTGCCTTTCCCTGGTTGGCATCATCTGTCGCGCGGACCATGCACACACAACATTCCAGGAGTACCAACAGGTACACCACATGGCGCAGTTGGACGAACATCGTTGTCATGATTATCACTGTGAGTCGTTTGGATCCGTGGTAACAAGGAGGAAAAGGAGAAAGAAAAGAGACGCACATTTAACACACAAGGCAGACAGTACACAGCGACACAGAAAGAGAGGGAGAATACACATCACAACAGCAATCAAACACAACCCAATGAGGGGTACAACAGTAAACCACTCACACAATAAAACACACCCAGAGTTACACAGATATTGAAACAACACCTTGAACTTAGAAGAAGTGGAAAACAAATGGTATCAAAACAATATTAAATAAACGTCTCTACACACACACTCCAATATCTTACTCGGTATTCATACACACAAAGTGTGTCTGTATTCTCATTATAATAAAATCATTACCAAGCAGTTTGAACAACAAAATACACCAAAAACACAGTGTACGCCGGGCAACATACAAAAACAATACCACAAATCATCAGCAAAACAAAGAGACTGTACAATAATCAACACACTTCCAAACAGAAAAAGAAAAGAAACCAATGCATCACCATAATATTTATACCAACACCACAATTGGAATCTAAAACCCACTCACTCACAACCATAACAAAAATGACTGCATACACATCACTGTAATACCATGTCAATCTTTACAAGCAGAATCAACACACAATCACTCTCTCACACACACATATTACCTCTTTATTTATCCTTATTATTATTATTTTATTTTTCCTCAGAATGCCAATTCGCCTCTTCTTCTCCCACAGCATTATCGGCAAAAAAAATAAAAAAAACATCCACCCAAACACAGACGTCCTTTACTCCATGGTGTGTATTAGGAAGGTACGATCCAACATATCCCCTTTTCCTCTCCCTACCCAAACAGGACCCCACACCACACCACCACGTTTTTCTTTCTGTTCTTCGTGTCTTTATGGATATTACTCCAATGGTACGGTTATCAGCCGTACACCGTAGAGAACTTTAATTACCGACTTACGGGTGGTTCAAAAAAAGAAAGATCCCTTCGTTTTATAGGATCCTCAAGCTCTTGTAATATGATTTTTGTTGTAGCCCGTTACCATACGAGAGAACCAGTCTACGAGAAATCTGATCAAGTAAACTCCACCAGATCTCTCTACTCTCACCTTTTCTTACCCAAAACCCATCCTCAAGTCTCCTTTTGTTATTATTTTTGTTATTTTTGTAATAGATTGGCCTCAATGAATTCCTATTTATTTTATTCTTTCTTTGGTCAGTGACAGGGGCCTTGAGCGTACTCTTCTATCAAGGTTTCCATATTCGTGCTCGTCGCTGATTATAGAGGTGGGGAGGTAAGCTGCGTAGGGTTTCCAGGGTGTGAAGACTGTGGCATAGTGTAGTTCCGCTCCACCGCAATAAGGAACTGTGCTAACCGCTTAGAGAAACATAGTTTCATCAGGGGTACATCATCACCTATCGCAAATTGAACTCGCAGTGGCTGAAGAGCGGGGCAACTCAAGAGGTGCAGAGCTGTTTCTTCGCATTCGTCGCGTTGACTGGTGTGCGTGAGTGGGTTGATACCCGTGTCGTGACACTCGGTGTAGAGTTAGGCCCGACTTACTCATATACACTGACGACCGCATGAGGGGCAGACTAATGCCGGAAGGTCTCTTGTTTTTGTTGTCTTGTATCTTGCGTTGGGGTGGAATTTGATTTGTTGACATTCCCTGTCTATAATGGAATTTTCTGTACTGGGCGTAGAGCTTCTGGCAGATTCCGCATTGGACTTTTTCTCTGTTCTCACGCTCCGGCGGCGACGTATCTCGCTGGCGTTTCTTATTTCTCGGAAACGTTACTTGTATTGTTGCTGGCAGAATTGGGGTTCCAGGTGGATGTTGGAACTTTTTATGGCATGCGAGAGCTCCAATGTTGCCAAAGTCGCGTAGACAAAATTCGCATCGTAGTGAAGCAGGCTGAGGAATGAGTTGGATGCGAGGTGCATATTTTTTGGGGGGTTCTCAGGATGCCGTGCTCTAATATGGGCTTTGAGGCCTGTTTTAGAGCGCGCTATCATATCACATTTGTCACAGAGGGAACGCTGATTCCTCTGAATCGGTTCGTCGGCTCGCGGGCGTTTTCTCTCTGGGACATGGCATGGGGCATTGCGCATGTATCTAAGGTGGCGTGTCAATCCATTTTGAAGCGGAAATGTTCGTTTACACATACTGCAGGCAAACGGATGGGGTTTTGCTTTAGGGCGAATTGGGACGGGGTAACGTTGTGGCCGGAGGTGGGGGTTGTGGTGGCGGCGGGGGTTCTGGCGGGATGTCCGGCGGAGGCGGCTCATGGGGGAATTTGATCTTCCAGAGCGCGTCGGCTCTCTTGAACCCATGTGTTTGTTGACCATATGTACTACTGCGGTGTTCCTGCATGAGTATTGTGTCCCGCATTCAGTGCAGGTGGCGGGGTCTGTTGCTTTGTTTAGTGCATAGCGCGGTTGTTTTTGGCTAGTTGGAATAACGGGCGCTGGCATGTTTACTTGTTGGGGATTACACCATCGACAACCAGGGGGAATGTGGGTTTGTATCTTTCGCAGCAACCAGCCATAGCGATGCGAAGCACCTGTGCGAAAACGTGCTAAGGCTGTTTCTTCTTCTCTAGTAAGTTCCGGGTTGTCTTTGGTGGGGTCCCAGGATCCAGTGATTTTTAATCTATGGGAGA